AAAGCCACAAGGATAGCTATAGTAAAAGCAGAAGTTAACAAGTGTTGGTTAAGATGTTCAATGGAGCCCTCAAACATTGCTGAGGGGAATGAAACATGGTTTGACCACTATGGAAAAAGAGTTTGGTGGTTTCTAAAAAAGTTAAACATAGAATTACCATATGAACCAGCAATACCACTTCTAGGTATCTACCCAAGAGAAAAGAAAAAAAAACCCTCATTCACACAAGTATTTGTACAGCCATGTGCTGCATAAGGACATTTCTGTCAACAATAAACCATATATACAATGGTGGTCCCATAAGATTGTAATAGAGTGGAAAAACTTGTAAGGCCTAGTGACTTCATAGTGATTGTAATTTCAGCACAACACATTCCTCACAAGTTTGTGGTGATGCTGGTGAAATGGGATTCCATATTCAGGGCATCTGATATCAGAACAAGGATTGCACCTAGATCCAGACAATCTTCATGGTGTCCTAAGTTTCCCAACCACACAACTATGTGTCAACTACAACATATACTCTGGCTATTCGTTCATTGCCAAAATTGGACCCAAATCTCTAATGGCCAAACCTCCATACGTTTTACTAAAGAACAACAACCCTGACCCAATTTTATGCGAAAACAAGATGGCATAACATTTAAAGCCTTAAAGGAGAGTTTAATAAACCCACCTGCCCTTGGGTATCCCAACTATCAGATTCATTTTGTCCTTTCTTTATGAAAGGGAAGGGAATGCCCTTAGGGTACTCACCCCAAAACATGAGGACCACCATCAATCCATAGCATATTATAGCCGGCAACTGGACCCTGTTTCATGGACATATCCCATTGGCTTAGAAGCATTGCTTCCACTACCCTTTTGGTTAACAGCATCAAGGACATTTTCGTATCATCCCCTTTAACCATCATCATTCCCCATGCAATCGAAGACCTCCTGAATCCTCATTACACAACATTTCTCACTCAGCAGCCTCACCTCCTCTGAAATCCCTTTGTTAGCTGTTCTCATGTAACTCTTACATTGTAATAATCTTAACCCTTTTACTCTTCTCCCCACTGTTATCAATGAAGCTCATCATGGCTCTTTAACTGATGGATTGCCTGCTGACCCCTAGTGATGATCTGCAGGAAATTCTTGTAACACCAACTTCCTGTGGTTCACTGAGTTTATTTAAAAGGTGACAATGACAAATATTGTGGTGGATATTGCGTATGAACACCCTTTGATGTAATTGAAGGAGCACCTTTGCCACCTACTACAGCCCAAAAAAGGCCAAATTATGCATGCTTACATGGCAGCAATTATAGTAATAATAGACATGCTTTTGAAGTAGCTCATGATTTTGGAATTTTGTGGAAGTAATGTGACTCCCTTTATTCCAGCACAAACTAAAATTTTAAATGGCCACTATGTTCAGAAAGCACTGGATGCTGTACTTTGACCTGCTGCTTTAGCTGTTAAGATCCCATGGCATTCTAAACTTGACTCTGGAAGCTAAGGGGACTCACCTTGCTGACACTGCCACACAGATGCTACCCTTAAAGGAACCAGCAGCACTCAAACCTCTGTCATGGTCCAAAGGGAAATTTCCCCAAAAGGTAACTTAGAAAAACTGGCTAGAGAAGCCCAACAATTGGCATCTGTGAAGGAAAAAAAAACAAGATTGGAAATCAAAAACTTGTTGGTCTGATAAAAAGAGAAAGCCCTGGTTCAAGTTAGATAACAACTCAGTCCTACTGGAGACTGTAAAATTCTCACTCCTAACTACTGTATATGCATTAAACCATTGGTCACTGACAAAATGGTAGTATTCATGTGTCAGTAACGGTGCGGAAATATTAATAAGGCTGAAAAAAATTTGTCTAATTTTTCCCACTTGTCCAAAGTACAACTCAGGGAAGCTTGTTTGTACTGCTCCTGGACACTTAAATTGCTTAGTGGAACATTTGAGTTTTGGCAAATGGATTCCATATAGCTTTCTCCATCTCATGGATATAAATATGCTTTAACCATGATCTGTATGTTTCATAACTGGAATGAAGCTTTCTCTTGCAGACAAGCTACTGCCTCTCTGTGACTAAAGTATTTTTTGGGGAAAAAAATATCCCTGCCTGAGGAATAGCTCTTGAACTCCATAGTGATCAGATAACCCATTTTAACAGTCAGGTGCTGCAAAAAGTCTGTGCTGTTTGACCAGTTTTACATCACTTTCACTGTGCTTACCACTCTCAATCCTCAGGTTTAGTCAAGCACACAAATGACATTTTTTTAAAGATTTTTATTGGGGAATTAGAGGATGGGAACAGCGCTGGGGAATTGGGGGAAGGGGAACAGACAAATTGCTATCCTTTTGTTCTTCAGTCTAGTTGTGGAGGAAGTTGCTTCACTGACCCAAGTTGGCACCATCATTGCGCTGTTCCCGGGCGAGGCAGATCAGTCACCGTCTTCTGGATGGCCGCTCATGGCGGCTGCTGGCCGCTCACGCTGGCTGCTGGCTACACATGGTAGCCCCATGGCAACCCACTGCAGCAGGGGCTGCAGCCTACACCGTCGCTGGTGACTCACGGCAGCCCAGCTCCAGGTTGAGCTGTTGTTCAGCATCTTAGCTGTGGAGGGCAGTGTCACTGGCCCTCATATGTGGGATCCGAACCAGGGCCCTCTGGCATCCCAAGCCAGCTCTTAACCAACGCGCAACTCGGCCGGCCCACAAATGGCATTATTAAGATGCAATTGGCAAAATTTGTAAGTACCAACCAAATACCTTGGCTAAAAGCATTGTTGTTGGTCTTTCTATATCTCACATCTACCCCTTTGGAACTCATAAACTCTTACCCTTTTAGATGGTCACAGGGTACCAAGCACTTGGCCCTACTTCTTATGATCCACAACTGATTAAAGGACATATATTTCAATATTGTAAAGGCCCAATTGCTTCTATCAAAATTAACCATGTTCTAGTAGAGCTCATATTGCACTCTAAGGAGACAAAAACCTTAATAAACACCGTTTGCTACTTGGAGAGTTTGTCTATTGGAAAATACACCTCCAGAAATACTCTCTTTAACCTATTTGGGAAAATCCTTATCAGGTACTGCCAAGCAACCCTTGTACAAGCAACTCCAGGGAATTAACTCCTGAATTTATGTGACACATATAAAGACCTCATGCTGACTGGTCCTATATATCATCTGGTGACCTGAAAGTAAATATTTCCCAAAATTGAGGCAGATAACTCCTGATGAGACAGCTTTCCCACGATATGTAGACAAGACCGGTTGGAGTGTTTAAAATTCACAGAAACCTCTCTTTCATCTAGACTATTAACTGACTCTGGATTGCTACCAATTTATAAGTTTCTGAATTTGCAACCTACAGGTTGTATTATTGATAAGACATTTTGTTCCAAACAGTTTATTTTGAGATAACAATACCGTTTAACTGTTTAATGTTTTATTCCTGCATTGTGTCTTCCCAAAGTGCTTGTTTAATTATTTCAGTTCTGAGTGTACATTTGTCATATTCACTATTGTAAGGTACAGGCTTTAATGGGAAATGCCTAACAGTCCTTTCTCCTACCCCTCCTTGTTACTCAGATGTGACCACAGTAGATTTCCAGTCTGATAATTTTCCTCCAACATGAGACACAATACCCAGGAAAGGTCTTTCCTGGCATCAAGGGACAAAAGGCTACTGAATCTCAACAAACTTGCCTCTTAATCAGCAATGCTTCTGGAGAAAGACATTGATCAAAGGGGAAAATGTGAACATTAATAAACAGAAACCACATTTAAATTGGAATTGGGAGGACTTATAGGGAGAGCTCTCATGCCTGACCATTCATCATCAATTACTCCAAACAGGAAAAGACATGTTTTCTTTTTTTCTTTCTTTTTTATTAAACTTTATTGGGGAACAGTGTGTTTCTTTCCAGGATCCATCAGCTCCAAGTCAAGTCGTTGTTTCAATCTAGTTGTGGAAGGTGCAGCTCACTGGCCCATGTGGGAATCGAACCGACAACGTTGGTGGTACAAGCACTGAGCTCTAACCAACTGAGCCAACCGGCCACCCCCTGGCAGCTCAGCTCCAAGTCAAGCCATTGTCTTTCAATCTAGTTTTGGAGGGTGCAGCTTACTGGCCCATGTGGGAATTGAACCAGCAACCCTGTTGTTAAGAGCCTGTGCTCTAACCACCGGAGCTAACCAGCTGCCCCAAGAGACATATTTTCAGTCTCCACAGGAAGATCTTTTTCTACTTTACCATTCCAGCAAGAAGGAGGAGGATCACCCAGCAACCACTAAGCCAGTGAAAGTTTGTTATAAGTCAGCCAATGAAAGGCCAGTACAATTCCACTTCCCAGTTTCCTCCATTGGATTCTGTTCACAATAGTCCCTCTGAACTTCCTCTTTCCTCTATAAAAACAAACAAACAAAAAAAAACAAACAAAAGAAAGCATTTTGATCCTTTGTTTTCTGGACTTGTGTATGGTTTGCTATTAGACCACATGCCCCAAAATGCAATTCTTTTTTGTTCCAGAATAAGCCCATTTTGCTAAAGGAATTCTGGCTGTTTATTTAAGGTCAACAAAATAAAAGGGAATTAACTTTGAGAGTGTTTAATTTGTTTAATTGATCATTAGTAAGGCTTCTCAACCGAATATCTTGTATAATTCATCCTTTTTACATTAGATGGACAACATGGTTTTGTAGCCATCTTAAGTTTTATATTTAAGTCATATTCCTGATGAATCACTAGATTAGAAATTTTAAAATTGAATTTTTGATATCTTCATTCTGTTTAGTTCCTAAAGAAAACTATTTTTTTGTATTTGAAACACATGGCAATACCTAATAGTACATGGTGCCAATTTTGGTTCTGATACATAGCAACAGAATCCTGTGACAGCATAAAGAATTGCTTGGCAACGGAGATAACACTTCAAGACTGATTTGTAGGAGCCAGTTATCCCTAAGTGTTACGTGACTTGGGATTTCCACATGGATTTTCCATTTTATTCAGATGATAAGGAATGGAGCAATTCCCTTCTTGCTTCCTTTGAAACCACCGAAGATGCAGTTTATGAAGGAGAAAGTTGTCAAGGTAAGAGTAGATTTACTGACTTGAGTCAACTGTAATTGAAATTTTTTTTTAAGGGAGGGAGTTGAAGGGGAATAAGAGGTTCAATTTCCAGTTATAAAATAAATAAGTCATGAGAATGTAATATACAGCATAGGGAATATGGTCAATAATATTGTAATAAAGTTATACAGTGTCAGATGGTTACTGGACTTACTATGGTGATCACTTCTTAGGTATATAAACATTGAGTAACTATGGTGTACCCCTGAAGCTAATATAATATTGTATGTTAACTCTTTTTAATAAAAATCTTTTTTAAAGAAAAGAAGAGTATATTTACTGTAAAAAGGGTTTAGGTCTACCAAAAATACTGCCTTTATGAATAAATCACAAGAGTTAAAGCTTCATTGTTTATGATTAGTAATCAATTTTGAATGTCATTATTTTTCTCTTCAATAAAGTAATCAAGGAATTTTTTCAATAGTATTTTTGTATGAATATTTGCAACAGAGTTTCCTTGATTATTATTTTAAGTCAGGTTTATTATGGTATAATTTACACACAGTGTACCATTATGTGTACAGTTTGTATGAGGGATGAAAATGCATATTGTCATGTAACCTCAATCACAATCCATATAGAAAACAGATACATAATCCCAAAGAGTTTCCTAGTATAACTTTGTAGTTAACCACACCATCCCACCAAAGCCCCTAGCCACCACTGATCTCCTTTTGGTGACTATAGTTGTGTCTTTTCATGAATGTCATATAAATAAATTCATATAGTATGCTCTCCTTAGTGTATGATTTATTTCACTTCATATAATACGTTTTAAATTTATACATGTTCTTTCATATATTAGAGGTTTGCTCCTTTGTAGTCCTAAGTAGTAACTCATTATATGAATGTACCACAATTTGGATATTCATTCAGCTGGGGCTATTGGTGAAAATGCTTCCACAGTGACTTTTCCACAGCGGTCTCAAGGTAACTGAACTTGTCACTTAACACCTGATATTCCCCAAAGTAATCAACTTGAGAGAACCATGTGAAGGCTAAATGGCCTATTATGACCCTGCCTTTGAAGGCAGTACCATACCTTCTGCTATACACTGTTGATCAAAGCAGTTGCAAACTTTCCAAGATTCAAGGAAAGGCAAATCAGATCCTACCAATTGATTGAAGGAGTTTCAAAGAAATGTAGGTGTATGTTAAGGAGGAAGGGGGTGGTAGATGTGGGTAAAGGGAATCAAATATATGGTGATGGAAGGAAAACTGACTCTGGGTGGTCAACTCACAATGTGATATATAGATGATGTATTACAGAATTGTACACCTGAAATCTATGTAACTTTGCTAACAATTGTCACCCCAATAAACTTTAATTAAAAAGAAGAATTACAAAAATAAATTCTGCATTTATTTATATATGAAATGTTAACGTTTTATATTTCATTTGTATGGGAGTTTTGTAAATTTCAAAAAGTGATTGACTTCACATACTTTATGATCATAAACTGTAGCACATACAAAGCAGCAGTACTAAAGACTGGTCCAGCAATAGTAGTGTCTGGGGAAAGAAATTTTTTTCTGCTGACCCCATATTTCCACCTTTTTGTAACATTTACTCTCCTCATTATTTCAATATGCTTCCTAAAAATATTAGAATGGTTCCATGTAAAGAGACAAGTAGCACAGATATTTAGTAAATATTTTTATGCTATAAGAAATACTGTATATTATAGGAATCATTTAATTGCAGTTCTGAAATTGTCATACTTTATTATTTTTGCATCTGTGAATGATTATTCACTGTTAGTATTTTAGCATTACCCTTGTGTACTGTCATTTTCTTTGTCTCTCAAAAAGAAGGAAGTTAAATATAGGTATTTTTCAATCTAAAATTTCAGATTAATTGTAAATTTTTTAATGGCTTTGTGAAATTAGAATCCCATTTCCAAATCCTCTTCAAGTGTATCAAATACCTACAGTGTGCAGGGAAACAAAGGTTACTATGAGGAATACTAGACTCCTATTAACAAAGTTTATGTTAGGGTCATTAGGTTATGAGGTAATATGTGAAAATTTACTTAATGTTAATAGCAACTAATATATAAAGGAAACTGATTACAACAGAAATTTGAATGAAAGAAAGGAAGAAAGCCAACCATATATTATTTGCTATTATCTGACAGAAATTATTTCTTCGTAAATGCAAAATTATCCTCAAAGATTCCAGCAAGTCTTAGTCTTTATTTGTGGAGACTACTTTTTTAAAACCTTAAGTAGTTTAATTTAAATAGAATTTCCTTTCTATATTTATATTTACTTGATTTTTTACTTGTGTTTTGTTTACAATAATGCAGATTGCCTGATATCCCCACAGAAATGTGGGCTAATTACTATTGAGAAAGAAATGAAAAACCCAATGATAGAGAAATTCAAACTGGTAAGGAAGTGGAGCCTAAACAAATACAAGGTTTGTATATTTTGAAATAATTCTTATAAGTTTTCTTCACTCTAAGTGGCTCTAGGAACTCATTTCTTATTCAAATTATTTTGTTAAGCTATGTGTACCTATAGGGAAGATTGATGTCATATAAACAGAAAAGCACAAATAAGGCATAAATATTTCATATTATTGTTGATATCCAAAAAGTCCTAGTAAAGAGAATCATTAACAAAACAGTTAATTTCAGATTTTTCAAACTATTGAAATGGAGATAATACAGATAATTGAGCAGATGTATTACCTTGGAAGACATTCAGTTTAGTTGGTGCCTTGGTAATATTTATCGTTCTCCTTTGGGTAATTTATAGAAATGGAAAGTGAGGAGAAGTATACCAGCTCCCCCAAATTTAAAGTTATCTGATATCTGTGCTTCTTTAAATAATTGAACAGTAACACCAAAGGCATTCCTGGTGTATAAGCAGGATGTGTTTTTAAAGTTGTTTGTTAGGGCCTCATAATAATGATTTTTTTCTTCTGCCTTTCCCAAAACATTATTTAATCCAAAATATGGCTGACATAGTTATGATTATTCAATCACCAAATCCACCAAAGTACTTTTGCATTTTGAGGGGGAAAGGTGGTAGAATAAGCAGAGGCACAGGCTGGAGCGACCAACTCTTTCTATTCATAAGCTAGTTGTGAGTCCAGCGTTTTGCAAGTCAGGAAATTGCATTTATATAAAAAGCAGGTCACTTTTATGTGACTTATTATGAAAAAATACAACAAAGGCAAGTATTTTGGTTAATACTTTTAAAACATGGATACAAATTAATGTCTTCATAACAAATAAACTGTACATTTACTACCATTTGTTAAATGGATGTTTAGCCTTTAATGAGAACTCTTCTGTATATTTACCTCATACTTGATTTATATATCTTTATTATTCACTCACTCAACACATATGAAACAGTTGTTATATGATATGCTGTTCTGGATATAGAGTTTAGAATATGGCAGTGAATGAAATGAAAGAAGATCTTTGTCTTTGTGCAGCTTATGTTCTTCTATTCACAGAGAAGCTCCACAGAAGCTTCCCAAGCTTTTCCATTGTTTATAAAGTATTTCTAAGGTTAATAATAATTAACTAACTTTATTTTTCAATTTTTTAATCACTATTGAACTAAAAGAAACAAATTAACTTTTTCACTTGCTACTATATGTAAGGGACCTATACAGGGTAAATTCTTCCCCATTTTTTCTACCTGGCAGAGAAGGTTGGACTTCCAAAGTGCACTAGTTTTGTTCTTATTGATTATCTGACTTTCTTCATAACAGGGATTTTTATCCTTAAAATCAGAACTTTAAAGTGCCATTCCTTTTTTTTTAAAGAAAATCACAGGTTTTTTAAGCATTGATAGATGTTGGAGAGATTTTTGGTTTTATAATTAAGCTATGATTAACTTAAGCTGACATTCAACTACAGAGACATATTTTTATGTTCCTTATACATGAATGTATTTTGAATGTATTATTTTTTCACGTGGCTTGGTTTCTGAAGAACATATATTTTCATCTGGATCTACAAAAGATTTTCAGGGGCTGCCAGTTAGCTCAGTTGGTTAGAGTGCAGGCTCATAACACCAAGGTTGCCGGTTCGATCCCCACATGAGCCATGGAGCTGCGCCCTCCACAACTAGATTGAAGACAACTACTTGACTTGGAGCTGATGGGTCCTGGAAAAACACACTGTTCCCAAATAAAGTTTTTTGTTTTAAACTTCAGCTTGGGACTACTTCTTCCTTGTTTTATAAACTTTTTTTTTAATTGGGGAATTGGAGGGATGGGAACAGTGCTGGGGAGTTGGAGGAAGGGGAACAGACAAGTTGCTGTTGTTTTGTTCTTCAGTCTAGTTGTGGAGGACGTTGCTGCACTGGCCCAAGTTGGCACCATCATTGCGCTCTTCCCGGGTGAGGCATAGTCGCCGGCTTCTGGATGGCCGCTCACTGCGGCTGCTGGCCGCTCACGCTGGCTGCTGGCTACACATGGTAGCCCATGGCAACCCACTGCCACAGGGGCTGCAGCCCACGCCGTCGCCAGCGACTCACGGCAGCCCAGGTCCATGTTGAGCTGCTGTTCATCATCTTAGCTGTAGAGGGCAGTGTCACTGGCCCTCATATGTGGGATCTGAACCGGGGTCCTCTGTCATCCCAAGCCAGCTCTTAACCATCGTGCTACTCGGCCAGCCCTATAAACCATTAATGGATAGGATTATGCATGAGTTGTTCTACTAATACTACTGATTTAATTATTTTTAATGAGAAAACAAATGTGCTTCTATTTTTATTTCCCAAATAGCTCTGTTTCTCTGGGATTATTTTATTCTTTTAAGCTATTAAGTTTTCCCCACATTTTTAGTGCATGCTGTTCAAAACACCTCTTTTATGATTCAATTTGGCCATCCCAAATGTAGTCTAGTGCAGTAAATGCTGAGTTTGATTGCTTGCTGCCTAGGGAAAAATTAAAAACATATATTAAGAAGCCATCTAAAGGCTTCATATGTTTATGGTTATTCCATACTCTCATTATGTTAATTTCTCTAAGCAACTAAATATTACTTTATTGTTTTAGGAAAGTATAAATAAACAGATATAGTGGGGGGAGGTTACATTTATTAAACCAATCTCTTGTATGGGAAGAAGTCTTGAAGAAAATAGTCACTATAAAATGTGATCTTTTGAAGAAAAAAATGACTTTTGGGGGAATCTGGGTTGTTTTCATTGAAATTTTTAACCTCCTGCTTTATTTTATTGTTATTCTTATGTTGATAATCTGCAGAAAAAAAAGATTCATTTAGCCAGCTTTAGTAACATTACCCCTCCCCCATATTTTAGGTTTTAGAAGCTCAACTCAAACTAGGTTGAGTAATAATACATAGTTTTGTTGGGAAGATAGTTGGGTAGTTAATAAATCAAAGTAAGAGCTCCAGGAATCCAAGCAGTTCTGATGACTTCATAGACAAGAACTAGGGGCTCTAGCCAAAAGGCTTCCATTATCTGTCTTATCTATAGTTGGCCTTATCCTCTTTGATTGCAGTCAGGCATTCTTCATGGAAACATCTCCATAGGCAACAGAAGAAAGAGACACCCTTTCCCCAAGCTTCTGTATACTAAAATCCCACAGAGACTCAATAATATAATCTTTTTTCTATTCTCTCTTCTGACTTTGATCGTGTCAATATCACAGATCAGTCCCTGTACTCAGGAGATAGGAAACTGTTCTGCCAGCCCTGTACCCCTTAGCTACTTTTATGAACTAGATGGGATACTGTGACTGATAACCTTCAAGAATTATATACTTGGAATGGAGGGTAGAGTAGTTGGTGCCCTGAAGTAAGATTCCTTCTGTACTTATTAGAGATGCTGAATTACCAATAAAGAACTGTATCTATTCTTGGGTGTTTTATTGTAAGGGTATGTATCTGTTGATAAAAGACACAAACTCTCATAGAAATGCAAAAACAAAACCATAATGATTAAGTCCTTGTTAAGTCTTGCTGAAGTGGTGGCTCCATTTCCAAGACAACTCAAAGTTGTCAGATTAGGGGGGTATTTTTTCCTAGTGTTCTACAATTATCCCAACCCAATTAACAGCAATTAGCTTCATTTTGTATTATCTTGTTTCACCCAAGATTTTCCCAAAGGGTGTCTTTCTGACTACTAGTTGGAAATAAATTTTAGTGATAAAAACATAATAAATCTGGGAAGTCCAAACTCTGCATCTCCTCTTTGACACTCACAATAAATATTTAGTAGAAAGGAAAGGCTCTAAGACATATTGCTGTAAAAGATCCAGTTTAATTCTTTAAGTCGTTGTTTTCCATTCTGCAAATCACTGTTATAAATCTATTATTGTCCCATGAGAACAAGATTTTTCCTCAGTTGCATGACCTCTATAAATAATGTCTACTTCCTCTTAAACTCATGTATAACAAACATTGGGAGTGCTGGATGAGGGAATTACTTAGCTTCCTTTCTCATTGCTAACTGCTTCAACTGCTCAGGAATTTTTAGCTACAAATACTGAGAGAAATCACCAGCTAATAGACATTTTGATTATTTTCATTTTTGATTATTATTAATTCTGCTGAAAACATTAATGTACACAAGTTAGTATGGATATGTACTTTTTAAAATTTCTCTTGGGTAGATATCTAAGTGGGAATTGATAGGCCAAATAATAAATGTATTTTTCAGCATTTGAGAAAAAGCCAAAATATATTCTAAAGTAGCTGTAACATTTTGTATTCCTACTAACACTGTATAAGAGTTTCTGTTTCTCCACATACTTGCCAATATTTGTTGATGTGTTCCTTTTTTTTAATCACTATTATAGAAGGTTTTATTTTTTTTTATTATTATTATTATTTTTTATAGCTGAGCCATCCTGCCACCTGTTGGCAGCTCAGCGGCTGCTCAGCTCGGGCTGACTCGAACCGCTGTTGCTCAGAGCTCAAACTCTTGAGCGAGCTCTTAACCAACTGAGCCACTCAGCCGGCCCTAGAAGGTTTGAAATGATATCTCATCATAGTTTAATTTGAGTTTCCTTAATGACTAATAATGTTGAGCATGTTTTCATGTGCACATTAGCTATACTTACATCTTTTTGAGAAATATCTATTCAGATTATTTGCCCAGCTGTTTGTTTATCATGGAGGTGGAAGAGTTCTTCGTATATTCCGGGTACGAGTCCTTTATCAGATAGGTGTTTTGGAAATATTTTTTTCCAGTCTGCTGCATTAATTTGTTTCTGAAAATGTGGTTTATTCTTATGGCAGTTTTAGGTTCATGGCAAAATTGAGCATAAAGTAAAAAGACATTTTTCATATGCCCCCTACCCCCATTTTCTTTCTTTTTTTTTTACATTCAATGTTATTTTATGTTAGTTTCAGATGTACAGCACAGTGGTTAGACATTTATATAATTTATGAAGTGAACCCCCAATTAGTCTACTACCCACCTGGCACTATACATAGTTATTACAATATTATTGACTACATTCCTTATGCTGTAATTTACATCCATGACTGTTTTGTAACTACCAATTTGTATTTCTTAATCCCTTCACTGTTTTCCTCCAGTCTCCCCCAACTGACAACCATCAAAATGTATGTACATTGTTTTGTTAGACATAATGCTATTGCACACTTCATAGACTACAGTATACTGTAAACATAACTTTTATATGCATTGGGAAACCAAACAATTTGTGTGACTCACTTTATTGTAACATTTACTTTATTGCCATGGTCTGGAACCAAACCCACAATATCTCTGAGACGTGCATGTAGTTGAGCATGTGCCACACCCATTTTGATGTTGGTGATGTTATTTTCTTGTTCACTCAATGTGTAGGAGTCACTCAGCCAGTTACTGGATTTCTATCAGAGGTAATTTACCGGTGTGTAGCTAGTTATAGGTTCCATGTTTCCATGGGAAAAGGTGTGTTATAAAGGCTTGTATGTCACCATCTTGGATCAGCACCTTTCCGACAGCTTTAGAGTTCAGTCATCCATTACACTGGTCCTCATACTTGAGAGTGTTTTAGAATCACCAATTAGGATTTGGGAAAGCGCAGAATTTGAGTCCCACATCCCCAGTTTCTGATGTAGCTGCTTTCAATATTTGTTGAATTGATCCCCTCTCTGGTGTTCACAAAATTGGTCTTTTCCTTTAGTGCATATATATTACTTCTTATATGTGTATGAATACACATATATATAAATTTTCCATTCTTATCATTTATGTATTTTACATCTATAATATTAAGAACCCCTTATTATTTATACTCATCATAATGTAGTACACTGTGGTGTTACTTTAGGCGTAATTTTCCTTCAAGTGATCATTTCTTCTATTTTAAAGGAAATATTTATTTTATTATAACCTCATTTGGGTATTTCAATGTCAGTCTAAGTAATATGCAGCTTGTTATACAGCACATATGAGCTGACAAGCTTCTGCCTCTAGTAAAGTCCAGAGCCTGATATAATTAGTGGTTCTATGTGACTCAGTGTTTCTCAGGCTTTCGGAACTCTTTAGTACAATTTATGATTCTTTGTCGCCTGGGCAAACCCTCAGCTACAGATTCTGATTTGGTTGATGTAGGAGTGTATACTTTATCCAGCTCCCCCTTAGATACCTTCATTCTGGCTATGACTGATGTTTTCTTTTGTGAATTTCAGGAATACTTTCTCATTTCTACTTTGCAGTTCCTGTTTCTATTCTCTTGCAAATACATTCATAAGGTATTCTACTTAGACATATTTTGTTACAGAACTAATTGAGGATCAAAAATTATTTTGGTCCCAATAGGTCTGATAAGTTATATGCTTTGACCACTTTCTATATGGAAAGCTAAATATCTCCCATGGGACAGAGTAGTTTGCATGCTTCTTAATAACATACTCTTTGGCAAAAGTAAAAATATAATTCTCTCTCTCTCTCTCTCTCTCTCTCTCTCTCTCTCTCTCTCTCTCACACACGCACACTCACACACACACACACAATAGCTATCATAGCTATTTAAGGTAAAACTATAAGAATACTGAGGCATTTGAAAATAGAAAAGTGGAATTTTTATATTTTTACTATTCATATTTTAATAGTTTTATATTATTTTAAAATCAATGTCCACTATCCATATTGTCAAAGGCAGGTTGTTAACAGAGTACACTAAACTTAAAATAAGATATGTGAAAGACTACATTTTTCAGATAATACTTAGCTGGATAATTCTTCAAAATTTTTAAATATAATGTTTATATTAACATGGGTTGACACATGTGTATAAATATTTGTATTGAGTTCTGATTAACTTCTATGGTGCTTGACAACTTACACTGTGTTGTGCTTTATTAAATCAGAAATGCTAAGTTAAGATATTTAAACTAGGTTATTTGAAACAAACGAAAAAAAAACGATGTTTGTTATATGCTCCAGCTTTTGTACTTGTGGGTTGCTATGTTATATATTTTATGTTTTTAACTAAAAAATTACACTTTCGCACCTTTAGTGCACTCGACAACTTATGTCAGAGAAGCTGGGACATAGCTCAAGAACAGTCAACCTTGAACTAGATTACCAGATTGATGTATTAAAAGATAACAAGAAAAAGTATGAACATATTCTAAGACTGGCTCAGATGTTTTCCAGCCATCTCTCCCACATGGTGCACATCCAAAAAGAACTTGGAAATGCATTTGCTGACCTAAGCCTGAAGTCACTCGATCTGCATGTAAGATTATTTTATAATAGCTATAGGAATGGAGGGGAGGAAAGTGATAAATCGAAGTAACACTGAGGTAATATAGTTAATTGGTAATTTATTAAATTCTTACTAAAATGAGAACATGTGAGATTGTCCTTAAGAAGTGCCAACTGAATACTGGGAATGTGGGAATCCACGTATAGCCTCAAAATTAGTGTAAGTTGCATAGCTTCCCTCATGCTGTACATTAACTAAAGTCACTAATGCATAATAGTAATTTGAGAATACTTTCTTTGACTGTTTTATAGTGATACATTTTATATCTTCTCTATTGCTTTCTCTACTTAAGACTAGAAGTGTAGTTAACCCTCACCATTCAGGCTTTAATTTAAATTTTTTTATAATTAGTATGCTAACTAAAATTTTTTCATTGTGGTAAAATGTACAAAACACCTTTTTAATCACTTTAAAATTTACAATACAGGGCATTTAGTGTGTTCAAAAATATATGCAACTAGTACCAGGATCTGATTTTTTTAATATTTTCATCATCCAAAAGTGAAACCCCCTAACAATTAAGCAGTAAATTCCCATTTTTGTGTTTCTCAAGCCCCTGGACACCGAAACTGCTTTCTGTTTCTATGGATTTGTGCATTCTGAGTATTTCATAAATAGGAAAACATACTGTATGTGGGCCCTAGTACCTTGCTTCTATCATTTAGTATATTATCTTCAAGCTTTATTCATGTTGTAGCAGCTATCAATAATTCATTCCTATTTTGGCCCAAAATATTCCATTGTATGGATATATCACACATTTTTTTTCATTCATCAGATGATGGACATTTGGGTTTGTTCCACTTTTAACTATTGTAAATATTGCTACTATAAATATCCATATACACATTTTCTTTAAACATTCGTTTTCAATTCCTTGTGGTATTGTAAACAGGTAAGGGTGGAATGTCTGGGTCTTTATATGAATTCAATGTTTAAGTAATTGAAGAAAAATAAGACTGCTTTCCGTTGGCTGCACCATTTTACATTTCCCCCAGTATGTACAAGGGTTCCAATTTCTCCACGTCCTCACCAACACTTGTCATTTATTTATGTATTTTTCTTATAGCCATACTAGTGGACGTTCAGTGGTATCTCACTGTGCTTTGAAATTTTGTTTCCATGATGAATAATGACATTGAGCATCTTCTTATGTGCTTGCTGGCCATTTTTATATATCTTCCTCAGAAAAATGTCTATTTAGGACCTTCAATCAATTTTAATTAGATCGTCTATTTTGTTACTAAGTTGTAAATGTTTATATTTTGTTGATAATATAGCCTTGTCAGATACAGCAGGTTCTTGAACATCACTTTGTTATAACATTAATAAGTAAAAAGGAATAATAATTCCCAGCCCCAGCCACTGTCTGCATGCAGTTTGCACCTTCTCACCATGTCTGCATGGGTTTTGTCTGGGTAATTTGTTTTTTTTCTCCCACATCCCAAAGATGTGCACATTAGGTTAATTGGTGTGTCTAAATTGTCCTAGTAAGAATGAGTGTGGGTGTGAGTGTGTGCGTGTAGCCTGAGATGAAATGGAATAGTCTCCAGCCACCCTCAACCTTGAGCTAGAATAAGAGGATTGGATATGTATTACTATTTTTATTTTTTAAATTAAGTTTATTGGGGTGACAATGGTTAGTAAAGTTACATAGGTTTCAGGTATACAATTCTGTAATGCATCATCTATATATCACATTGTGTGTTCACCACCCAGAGTCAGTTCTCCTTCCATCGCCATATATTTTATGAGGAACCTCTATACTGGTGTTTTTTTTTTTTATAGTGGCTGCATCAATTTGTATTACCTGCTGGTAACACTGCACAAATGTCTCTTTTCCTCCACATCCTCTCCAAAACTTGTTGTCTCCTATATTTGTAATAATATACATTTTAACAGATATGAAGTGTTATCTTATGGTGGCTTTGCTTTGCCTTTCTGATCATTAGTAATATAAAACACCTTTTCATGTAGTTGTGGGCCATTTGTATGTCTTCATTAAAAAAATTCTATTCCATTTCTCTGCCCATTTTTTTTTAAAGATTTTTATTGGGGAATTTGGGGAAGGGGAACAGACAAGTTGCTGTCGTTTTGTTCTTCAGTCTAATTGTGGAGGACGTTGCTTCACTGGCCCAAGTTGGCACCATCATTGTGCTCTTCCCAGGTGAGGCAGATCAGTTGCCAGCTTCTGGACAGTCACTCACAGCAGCTGCTGGCTGCTCACGCTGGCTGCTGGCTACACACGGTAGCCCATGGCAACCCACCTGCCACCGCCGGTGACTCTCAGCAGCCCAGCTCCAGGTTGAGCTGTTGTTCAGCATCTTAGCTGTAAAGGGCAGTGTCACTGGCCCTCATATGTGGGATCTGAACCAGGGCCCTCTGACGTCCCAAGCCAGCTCTTAACCAATACACCACTTGGCCGGCACTCTCTGCCCATTTTTAATTAGATTGTTTGTTTTGCTATTAATATACATATATTCTTTACAATTTGGATATTAACCCTTTATCAGATACAAGAATTTCTAATATTTCTCCCATTATGTAGGTTCCCTCTTTATTTTATAATTTCTTTTGCTGTGCAGCTTTTTAATGTATTTCAACTTATTAATTATTGCTTCTGTTCTTTGTGCTTTTGTTGTCTTTTTTACAAAATCTTTGCCAAGACAAATATCAAGGAGCAATTCTTCTGTTTTCTTCTAAGATTTTTATGGTTTCAGGATTATAATTAAGCTTTAATTTATTTTGAGTTGATTTTTCTGTCTGGTGTGAGACAGGGGTCCAGTTGCATTCTTCTGCACGTGGTTATCCAGTTTTTCCAAGCCTATTTATTGAAGAGACTGTCCGTTCCCCATTGTAAATATTGGTTGACTGTATCCAAGGGTTTATGTCTGGATTTTTAAATTCTATTTCATTCGTCTGTGCATCTGTTTTTATATCAGTATTATACTGTTTTGAAATACTGAAGCTTTGCTTGCAACACATTTTTAAAACACCTAGTGTGGTGGTTCCAGATTTTTTATTTCATGGAATAGCTTTGGCTCTTCAGGATCATTTGTGGTTCCACAAGAACAGTAAGATTGTCTTCTTTTCCATTTCTATGAAAAATGGCATTGGAGGGCCGGCCGAGTGGCACGATGGTTAAGAGCTGGCTTGGGACGCCAGAGGGCCCCGGTTCGGATCCCACATATGAGGGCCAGTGACACTGCCCTCTACAGCTAAGATGCTGAACAACAGCTCGACCTGGAGCTGGGCTGCCGTGAGTCGCCGGCGACGGCATAGGCTGCAGCCCCTGTGGCAGTGGGTTGCCATGGGCTACCGTGTGTAGCCAGCAGCCAGCGTGAGCGGCCAGCAGCCGCAGTGAGCGGCCGTCCAGAAGCCGGCGACTGATGTGCCTCGCCCGGGAAGAGCGCAATGATGGTGCCAACTTGGGCCAGTGAAGCAACGTCCTCCACAACTAGACTGAAGAGCAAAATGACAGCAACTTGTCTGTTCCCCTTCCCCCAATTCCCCAGCGCTGTTCCCTTCCCCCCAATTCCCCATTAAAAATCTTTTAAAAAATGGCATTGGAATTTTGATAGGGATTATATAAAATCTATAGATTATGGGGACTATTTAATTTTAACAATATTGATTGTTCTGTTCTATGAACACAGGATATATTTTCACTTAATTAGTGTCTTCTCCAATTTCCTTCACCAGAAGCTTGTGGTTTTCAGTGTACAGACCTTTCACTTCCTCAGTGACATTTCTTCCTGAGTGTTGTATTGTTTTTGATGCTATTGTGAATAAGATTGCTTTCTTTATTTCTTTATCAGCTATTTTGTTGTTACTGTAAAAAAACCAGCTTATTTCTTTGAGTGAATTGTTTATCCTGAAACTACTGAATTTGTTAATAAATTCTATAGCCTCTTGAGAGCCTTTGAATTTTTCATGAACAACACATCATCTGCAAATAAATTTAGGTTTTGATTTTCTGTTTGGGTGCCTCTTGTTTTTCTTTCTTGCTGATCGCTCTGGCGAAGATTACCAGTAAAGTAGGTCCTTTATATCTGTGATGCCACTGTATTTGCACTTTTAGTTACCCACAATCAAATAGGGTCTGCATATATTAAATGGAAAATTCCAGAAATAGTTCATAAGTTTTAAATTGCATACCATTCTGGGTATTCTGATTAGATCTTGTGCTATCCTGCTCCATCTCACCTGGAATGTGAATCATCCCTTTGTCCAGCATATTCATGCTGTATACACTACCCGTCTATTATTTACTTAGTAGCTATCTAAGTTACCATTGTAGATTAACTACCATGAAATTGCAGTGCTTGTATTCATGTGACCCTTCTCTTACTTGATGATGACCCCAAAGTGCGAGAGTAGTGATGCTGACAATTCATATATGCCAAATGAAACCATAAAGTGTGTGTATATATGCAAAAAACTAGGGAGGGTAGCATTGCTGACCAGTGCTAGTGGTGTGCACACACTCGTCTGGGGGGCCTTGGTGCATTTGCCTATGTAGTAACAGGGGATGATTTTAGACATTCATGTAATGGTTGAGACCAGGACAGACAGCAAGTGCTAGTGCCAAGCATGGGCTCACTGGTAGCTGTCGGGACCATCCTGTCAGCATGTGGTTGTGTAATTTCCCCCTGGGTGTGTACACTGCAATGTGTATTAGGTATGATTCTAAGAGCTTTATATTTATTACACATGCAATGCTCACAACAAAGTCCTATTGTGAACCTCCTTTTACAGAAGTGGAAAGGAAGGACAGAGAAGTTGCACAGTTAACAAGTGATATAACTGGAACTTGAACCCAAACAATCTTGCATTAATGTTCCTGCATTTAACCATCATGATATACAAAGCTGCATTACCATTTGACTACTTAGGTTTAGAGTACTCCCCCTTTACCTCTCTTCTCCTCTGATAAATGAATTTCCATTTCAGAAAATCCTATAGGTGACATTTTTTTTAAGTAGGATTTTTATAGCAGTGAGAAACGTGGGCTTTGAAACCAGCTCTTCTTCTGAGCCAAAAATAATTTTTGTTTACCTGATTTTATCAACAGTGATTTAATTAGCTTTGATTTATTTCAGTTTTCAATTATTTAAAAAGTGTAACTGAAAAAATTTCACAATGGAAGGAGGACTGACTCCGGGTGGTGAACACACAATGTGATATACAGATGATGGATTACAGAACTGTACACCTGAAACCTATGTAACTTTACTAACTATTGTCACCCCAATAAACTTTAATTAATAAAAAAAATAGAAATATCACAAAATCTTAAAGTTAGATCTCCATATTAAGTGATTTCCAATTAGTGACACATTTAAGGCTTTTTCAGTCACATTTACTAATGCAATTATAAATAAGTGAATATATGTTCTTTATTATAGAAAGACTTTGGCCAAAATGTGGATACTCAGAGGCTGATGGCAAAAAATGGAGAAATTCTTTGTGTGGCCATTAATTCTTTCATTGAGAATGTCAACACTTTAGTGAACAAAACAATTGAAGATACTTTACTGACTGTGAAGCAGTATGAAAGTGCCAGGTAGGCATAAATTTTCACTCTGTGGTCTCCTTTTTGACATAAAATAATTACATGTTTTAGTTTGCAGACAACAGAAACTATCTAAGGCTGAAATATGCAAATAATTTATTGCTATTACCTTTGATAGCCCATGAAGTTAAAGAAGGTTGAAGAAAAAAGTTTGGAAAACAGGCAGCAATTAGAACCAATGTCATGTCATATTAAGACGATGCCAGATGCCACGAGCACTTAATTTTACTACCGCTATTGTAAATAATTTCGGAAGTAACTCCTGAATGTCTATATAAACCTTTGGAAATGTATAGTCCTGAGAGAGTGTCTAATAAGTTGAGCCGAGGTCACGTGCTCATTTCCTTCCCAAATGGGCATGGGGAGATCGAAAATCTCCCAACTCCAGTTCCCGTAGAGGGTACTAAGGTTCTTTATCTTATAGTTGGATGCTGGGTGACCTTCCACAATCTGATCTAAGCTAACTTTCAACCTGATTTCTCACTGCTTACAAATGTCACCCTTCCACAATATCCAAATTCATTATTTTAGTGACTCTTGCATATAAAAAGATCATTTTGCCTCCAGGTTTTTCTTCATGTTGTCAGCATCAATTCCCTCATCTTTTCTTTATCCAAATTATACTAAGCCTTCAACCCCCTTAGGGTTTTACCTTTAACATAATTACATTTCAATACAGGTTTATAAAATAATATTTTCAAGGAGTTTTAATGTAATTTGTTTTACTTATGTATGTGTATGTATTGTTTTTATGTGATATGTTTAAAACTATTATTTGACGTAAATGAAGCCCATAACATGCCATTTTATAGATGGAGAAAATGAGGTTCAAAGAAATTGCTACATGCCTCTAGAAAGCAGCACACTTAATATAAATAGCATTCCCAAAATTGTAACACCTGATCCTCTTGTTTGCCCCTCCTGATGTCTCATTCATTTATTACTCTGATTTCTGATGAATTATTTTTCCTCTGAATTCCTAAAATCCTTATTTTTAAAGTGCAGTTGTATAAGGGTAAAGTGCTACATTTAGGAGGCATAACTTGAGTTTCTAGCATTCTGCTCTAGATAATAATATGAGACGTGATCATGAAATTTCTAAATTTATCTAATCGTTTTGCAGTGCATATTATTTTACTTCCTAAACAAGTAAAAATCAAAGTTACTTGGAAAAGTTAATTCCTTATCTTTTCATATAAATTAGATGTTGATGTTCCATGCTGTCTTTATCAGCTACTTAACATTAATACTATATATACTACTAATTCATCATTTTTGGAAAAGGAAGTTTGTTCCAAGCAGTGGTTATCCAGTGAAAGAAAGGAGGGGTGGAACTGCATAGAGAAATTATGGAGAACTTGGGATTCTTGTTTTATTCTCCTCTAGGATGTGAATTCTTTTCAGTCAGTGCATCTAAAAATTAGAGGTAGAAATAAAACAAGAAACAGGAATGCCTACCCACAAATGAACCCATTCTATATCATTCTCAGAAATTGGTTTTCTGATCTCTGCTTATACATCTCCATGGACATTATCTTTCTTAAGGGTTTCCATATCTGTATTTTAATTTTTGGTTATTAAAAGTTCCACTTGACGGGCCGGCTGAGTGGCTCAGTTGGTTAAGAGCTCGCTCAAGAGTTTGAGCTCTGAGCAACAGCGGTTCGAGTCAGCCCGAGCTGAGCAGCCGTGAGCTGCCAACAGGTGGCAGGATGGCTCAGCTAAAAAAAAAAAAAAAAAAGTTCCACTTGAGTCTTTATCAAATCTGCTCCTCTTCTGACAAAATTGTTAGGCATTTGTTATAGATACCTTTCCTTTGGCTACGCTAATTATTTTAAACATTATTCTTTTCTAGATGTTCAGATTGATTTAATATTTATAAACTCTGAATACAAAAAACCCTTTGATTATTTTAAATGTACATTTCTAACTCTCTCCCACTCTATGACTTCCTACAATTGTGGGTGAGAAGGCCAGAGCATTCCAGATAAAGACTGTGTGTGAACCTATCTCCAATTCAGTCTTTTGAAATTGGCCATCTATTGTGAAATGTATTTTAGTTACACAGTGTGTAGTGAATATCTTTCTCTTCAGCCTTCCAGTACCCCGAGTGCTTTTTCAAACTACAGTAAAACTTGCTATATTTAACAAAAAACATTGTTAATTTATACCATTAAAATATATTACACTTAGATTTATCAAAATTTATAGCTGTCAGAGACTCAAGAGATCAACATTCTAATTTACAGAATAAAATAATGAGTTCAAGAGAGGTTCAATAATTTGTGAAATTTTGGTCACTTTTCAGAACCAAAATAGTATGTGGGGCTATCCAACTTTCTATTATTATTAAATTGACCTGAAATCTGAACTAAATTAACATAAAATATTTGTATCCATTTATGAGAAATAATTTCACATCTTATTATGATAAATCTGTTCACTTAAAGCACAATATGGTGTAAGTCCATCTCAATTCATATGATATAGATGTATGTGCAACTTGTAAACTAAATTATAGATCAAGTCATATGTTCTTCATAGCTGCTATGTGAGGGAAATTTACTTGAGTACTTAAAAATGTAGGTTGCCATCTCATCTCATAAATAATCATTTGTCACTTAAAGTGCAATTTATAATTTCATCCAATAACTTAATTTTAGATTTTATGACACTTTCTGTGCATCAACTAGCTGTAGAATTGACTTGATGCAAAAATGAAGATAACTCCAAGAGTGAAACACTGCTTACTGTGTGAGGAATATTTTTTTTTAATCCCAGATTGAAAATTTCTCAGTAGTTGTATTTTCTTCTTTCAAAGGCAGAACAAACTGATTTTTTGGGTGAAGCCGTCTGTTTGATCAGGATTTTTCAAAGTGCTAATAAAGGCAAATACCTGGAGGGCCTTTTAGTTCTTCCTGTTATGCATTGTGTATAACTAAAACTTCTGGTGCTCTGTACATAGAAAATATTTAAATAAAATCATCAACAGGTGAAGAAAAAGCATTGACAAAATACAAAATCAATTTATGATTAAAACTCTGAACAAAGTGGGAATAGAGAAAAGATAACTTAACATAATAAAGGCCATATGTGACATGCCCATATCTAGCATTATACTCAATGGTGAAAAGTTGAGAGCTTTTCCTCTAAGATCATGAATAAATAAAGGAGGCTCCTCTCATTACTTTTATTCAACATAGTATTGGAAGTCCTGGTCAGAGAAATTGGGGCACAAAAAGACATAAGACATCAAATTTGGGAAGGAAGGAGTAAAATTGTCACTATTTCCATATGGCATGATATTATACATAGAAAACCCTAACGTCTTCACAAAAAAAAAACATTAAAACTAACAAATTCAGTAAAGTTGCAGGATATAAAATCAATGTGCAAAAATCTAATACAGTTTTATGATTAATCACAAACTATCAGAAAGAGAAATTAAGAAAATAATTCCACTGAAAACTATGGACTCCACGATTATCTGGATTCTCTAATCAGGCTCACTTGATGGTCATAACTGGCTGCTCTATTCAGTAGTAGATGGGGCTACTCCCACCTGGGCATAGCAGGGGAACCCTCCATGCCTGGTACTATCTATGCTCTAGGGGCAATCGTCTCTTCCTGCTTAAGCATTGCTGTGTTACACAACTTTCAGTTGCTCTCACCAGCCCCTCTGACTGGATGGGACCAGGAGACACTCGCCCAAGCAGGTGGGTCTATGACTCAGCTCCTTGTCTGGGTGTGGACAAACCCGGCTCTAGGGCCAGAAAAAACTCTTCATTTGAGTACACAAATCAGGCAGATCTGCACTCCATCAAGTTCCCTGGTCAGAGTACACCACCAAGTTGTTTCTGCAGATGAGCAACGCTGCTGATTGGAATTACTATTTGGGCACTACAGGTATGAACTTGGACTGCCCAGATTCGTGTGCTGATTGCTGCAAGCCCTTCCTGTCTTCTTCATCACAGTCACATTCCTAGTCATGCGTTACAGCATGAACTTTGTAACATATTTCACTAAACTGGAGGTATCTTTGCTTCTTGTATTAACCATATGATGGTTTTCTGTAGTGTTTGAAACATATTTATAATGACATTTTTGAACTTTCTTTTCTCTTAAATCAAGATTTCTATGACATTTTCACATGTTCCAAGATAGAAGGATATACTTACTGGTTTTTGAGAGAGTATGCAGTGGCGGCAGTGGCAGAAGATACCTCTTTCAGCTGCTGGTAGAAAAATATGAGTGGAAGTTTCAGAGAGGAGATGATAATTCAGTTATAGCACATGTTACTGTCACAGTGTAAATGTAGATTTCATGAGAACTCATAGATTATACTTTATACCTCACTAAGCATGTGTGACATAGGTGATTCGTCTGACCCTCAATGTATCCTTAATGTGACTTCCTCTTGGCAGCTACTTTATCAATACCAGTTTGCTTGTCCACAGTTCACACCTGCTTCAGCTTCACTAAAATAAGCTATCCCACCACATTGGGATTGATCATATGACTGTATTACTATTAAGTTTTCAAATCCAGTTCTTAAAACTAGTTTTAAAATGTTCTAGTTTTCACTTGCCATTTAATACTGTGGTGTAGAGAGAGGTAGTTATGAAATAAAAAATAGCCATGTTAATAACTGTTATACTCACAGAAATAAATGACTTAAGGGATCCCTGGTATCCAATATGTATGAGTAAATCAGTGTGAATCTTCCCCCTTTGTACTAAATGTATTGTACTCTGTTTCTGTGATGCTCCACTTTTTTCTCTTTTAAGAATTGAATATGATGCATATCGCACTGATTTACAAGAACAGGATGATGGAAACTTGGGCCCATACAGTTTGACAAAGATTGAGCAGTCAAAGCTTCTTTTCCAGACATATAAGGAAAAATACGAGCAAATGCGCAATGATGTTGCTATCAAACTCAAGTTTCTGGAAGAAAACAAGGTAAATTCATTTTTTAACTTCTGAAATCTTTATGGAAAATTTAAAAGGGATCACCATGACAAAGGAGACTACATAGAAAGATTTGATGGTTCTGTTATTGTTTTTTATGAGACTTACGGTAAAGAATTCCAATCACAATTCATGATGAGTTTTTAAAAGTACACGAAGTATACTTTCTTTTCTGTCCAAAAAGATATCACCAACTCCATTTTCCACACTTTTATATTTGACAATTGCAAAAAACTCTTATATTTAAATGTGGACTTGGTAGGAATTATTTTTAAAATTTGATGATGCCAAACTGTATTCTAAATAAAGTTTCAAAATCTTGATTCTTATGTAATGGATCAATGCAGATTCGGGAAAAAGAAAAACATTCTTCCCCGTTACTGCTAAATGAAGAATGGCAAGTTGTCTAATTTGCAAGGATGCAGTCACATACCTATAAGACATATGTTCAGAAATCAACTGTCAACATGGTTTTGATGTTCCATAAACATTTCTTAAGAATAAGAAAAGTGATAGACTCTGATAGAACTTCTGTAGGTTTTGCCTGGAGATGGCTTGATGTCCAGCTCCTGGTTACTGTATAGGTAGAAGATATTTCTGTCATTTCATGCATTCTGCGTTTCGTGTGAAGACTGCAGTCATGCAAATGAGAGGGCTAAGAGTGAGTGATGTGCAAGTTGGAGAGCATAGTCCCTATGGGGCTACCATCTTAAAAATCATTGCACATGAATAGTCCCTCTTCAGTGCCCATCACACTTTTGAATTCATCATATGCCTTCAGCCACAGCTTCTGCCAGCAAATATTTTTAAATTTTTTCTGCAGTATACCCAAAGGCAGCAATGTTTATAACATCCTTCATCACATGAAATTTCTTCCTTAAGTTCCCAAGAAATTGTCTGCTGATACCCTGTTTTCTCTTCCATTTCATTAAAGCCTCTGCTCACTGCCATAATATCTGCACTTTCCCCATCAGAATGATACATTTCCTTGGAACGTCATAGTACCTCCAGCATGATCACTTGTACATCTTTGTCAACAATTAAGGTTTAAAACTCTTTAGGGGAAAAAAAGTAACAATGATGGAAAGGAAGCCCTCAGAAAAGCAGTAAGACAGATTTCCCAGAGACGTTCAATTTGAGGAAATAAATTATAGTGTAGCCTGGTAGTACTCAACGACTCAGTGCAAAGATAGAAAAGTATTTGTTCTACTCTGCTGGATGACAGGCCATGAGAAAAATATTTATCGTTTGCTATGTTCAGCACTAAGAAGGACACAAAACATATCAATATATAAAATATATTGTATATATAAAATACTTTGAATATCTGCACAATAATAAATCAAATACTAAAACAACTTTGCCAACATTATATGGTCTGCTGTCTATAATCTGAAGTGCAAAAAAGAAAGCCACCTAATTCAGAGGCTAAATTTGTTTACAGATTGAGAAATTACTGAAGGAATACAAAAATATTTTAAGCAGCAACAATGGTTCTGTCTAGCATCCATTATTAATGGGTAATCTTTTTCTTTCTATGTGACAGAAAATATTTTATCCTGGAAAGAATCTCTAGCTATTGGTATATTCCATGGTTTAGAGGAAGAAAGGAAGTGTTAAGCACAAAAACTAGTAACAAAACTTTTACAGCAGGATAAAATGATTAAGATACAGAACTAGGGTAATTGCAGTGGCAATAAAAGGACAGATGTAGATGGTGATTTATTTCCTGCCTCGATAACTGGGAAAAAAATGGTACCATTGACAGGGACTGGGAAATCAAAATAGGACTCTGGTTTAGCTTTCGTAGGAGTGGCACTTGAGATGCATGGAAAAGGGACAAAAGATAGTTCTACTAGACCTGTATAGAGTTTGAGATAATAACAAGAGGGCCAGCCGAGTGGCTCAGATGGTTAAGAGCTCACTCAAGAGTTAGAGCTCTGAGCAAAAGGGTCGCTGGTTCAATTCCCGGCCCAAGCTGAGCTGCTGCTGAACTGCCAACAGTTGGCAGGATGGCTCAGCTGAAAAAAAAGTAATTGGAGAAAATAACAAGATATTCAAGAGGAAACAACTAGTAAGAAGTTAAAAATATGAGTTTAAAGTTTGGGCAAATGGTCAGTGTTTTAACTACTTGTTATTGCATAGTTTATATTTGTTTAATTGATGTTATTGAACAACTTTTACCCTTTATATTTACTACCTTTAAAAATGAGGGGATGGAACTATGTACTTTAGGTGATAATGATGTGTCAATGTAGGTTCATCTATTGTAACAATTGTACCGCTCTGCTGGCGGACGTTGATAACGGGGAGGCTATGCATGTGTGGGGACAATGGGGGTATATGGGAAGTCTCTGTAACTTCTGCTCAATATTACTGTGAACCTAAAATTGCTTAAAATAAAATCTAATAAACACTAAAAATAATAAAAACAAATGAGGAAATAGGAAAGAAGCACAACCTTTAGCCTAAAACCTGACTGTCATCCTGTTTGCTTTCTTCACAATTTGTATTGCACTAACTCGAAGCCAACTTTTTCTTGTTTTCTTAAATTTGAGCTGAAACAAAAACAAAACTGGTTTAATTTTGTCAGATAATCACGAGTGAATTATTTAACTACTTGTTTTTTAAGCTACATACAAAAGGAAATTTCAACAAAAACATTATACACTTCCTACTTACTTAATCATAGCATACTTAATATTTTTAAAACCTAAAGTCTTCTGAACATCAGTGACTGTGCTTTTGCACAGTTGGTTAATGTCCTTAAGGCTACCACAGGAAATGGAGCTGTTTTTCTGTTACCTTGTTAAATCATATCTCTTGTTATGAAAGAATTTTAAAGCAATTGAAAATGAGTATCATATTAGCTTTAAGTAAATTAAATTTCTGAGAAATACTCGCTGCCACTTGTTTGATAGTTTACAAACTACATACAGAGTAATCCTGCATCTACAATGATTCAGCCCACTGGATTTTATATATAACTTGGTCTTAATAATGTCCTAACTTTTATAGCACAGATGGTACAGTTATTTATTCATATAACTTTACATCTTCCACATTATCTTGTACACAGTTGGTTTGATAGGAAAATTTGATGATCTTTTTAAACTAATGCATTGATTAATTATTTGATTTCAAAATTAATTTATTTCAAAATTGTTAGCACTATATTTAACTTTTTTAACTGATTCAAATTTATTTTTTCACTGTAAATAGGGTGGGGAATAAAAACATCATCATAGACTCAGTAATCCTTCAAACAGATTACAATTTACATATGTGAAATACTCTATAATCATCAAACTTAGCTTTTGGAGAGTTAAAGTACATAGTAAATTATCTTAAATTCCATTGTCCATTGTAATGCTACTTTTTCACTTTTCTGTATCTTGTGGACAGGTTAAAGTACTGCGTAATCAGCTAGCTCTTTTTCATGATGCTATTTCTGCTTACTCTACTGGGAATCAAAGCCAGCTGGAAGAGACACTGGCACAGTTCCACATCAAATGAAAACTCCTGGAGAAAAATCCATATCTTGGTTTGAAGAACACCAATTACAGCAGAAAAAAATAAAACTATTGTTTTACCGAACAAGTTTAAGGTTATTGAAGCAGATTTGGGGGAATGAGAGACAGCATTGCGAATTTTGGACAAACATCTCATTATTTTTAGTTTATTAAATCAACACAAGTTCATTTTCTTACAGTTCTGAGGGACTAGAGTCTGTTATGGCTTATCCATATTCTCTACTCAGTATCTCACACTAAATATGCCAGCTTCTTATCTGGGCCTTGGAGTCTGTTTCCAAGCTCATTCAGATTGTTGGCACAATGCAGTTTATTTTGATTGTAGGACTGAGGGAACCAGCGCCTTGTGGGCTATTAGCCAGGGGCCTCTCTCAACTTTCTTCTCACATGAGTCCTTCCATCTTCACACCAGCAAAGATGTGTTGAGTCCTCCTCACACTCTAATGCTCCATGACTTCCCTCATCTTTTAAAGGGCTCGTGTAAACAGATCCACAAGGATAATCTGTCCACCTGAAGCTCAACTGATTTGGAACTTTAATGACATCTGCAAACTCTCTTCACAGCAGTACCTCCATTAGTGTTTGGTTGAATAACTGGGAGACAGGAATCTTAGGTGGGCCACCAAAGATGGTGGAGGGGTGGTCAAAAGCTGGACACTCTTCGTGACATCTCTCAAAGGTTCCTCAGTGCTCCAGAGCTCCCTGCGGATTTGGTTGAGGCTCTGGATATGACTGCATCAGAGCTGTGATGTATTTCTTACCAACCATGCATCTTTCATTTACCCATAGGTGTTCATCCCAAAAGTGCATCCACAGTATTTTCTTGCACACAAATCTCCATCTCAGGGTCTGCATTCCAGGGAAGCTGCTCTGCAACAGTTGGTATTGGTTATGAGTTCAGACTATTATCTCCAATTATTAGATGCCATCACAGGGTTTCTTTATCCTTTCTCTCTCTCCATATTTGTAACTCCCTTCTCTGACAGTGGGGAATCTGGCTCCTATTATTCACGATATATTCATTTATTTGCTCTGTACTACAATACATATCAAGTAATTCAGATTTGCCAAGCATGACTCTGTGAAAAAGAAACCCACAAAATTAAGTTCCATAATTTATTTAAAGTTCTTAATTCTTCACTCTGGGGGCATATAGTCCAAATAATGTACTCCAATGATTTGGGGTTATTCTCCACCCCTCCAAATTCTGTTGTAGTTATGCTATTGTTTACTATTATTTTAAATATGGTAGTTTATTGTGTCTGTTTTTATTTCATTTTAGAGCAGCGGTTCTCAACCTTCCTAATGCCGCAACCCCTTAATACAGTTCCTCATGTTGTGGTGACACCCAACCATAAAATTAGTTTTATTGCTACTCTATAACTGTGATTTTGCTACTGTTATGAATCATAATGTAAATATCTTTTTGTTTTCCGATGGTCTTAGGCGACCCCTGTGAAAGGGTCGTTCAACCCCCAAAGGGGTCGTGACCCACAGGTTGATAACCACTGTTTTAGAGTGTTTCTGCCATCCTTTTTGCTTTTATTTTTGTATTTATTTTTAATATAAAGGATTTAAAAAATAATGTGCTACAATATGACAAAATTCTGTAAAAATTATACTGAGACCCTCCCTTCTTTCTATACTTTTCATTTCATTCCTACAAAAACCATGCAGGCAATCAGTCACATAGGTTTCTGCCTTATCGTCTCTGAGTTTTTGTACAAATGAACAGATACGCATATATTTGCCTATTTCCTCCTCTTTTATATTCCTCTTTCATATGTTCTTTTTCACTGGTCATTTTCCCCTTAACAATCCATCCTGGAAATCACTGTTTTATCTCACAGAGAATTAGCATCTTGGATTTCTCTGGATAGATACCCAAGAGTGGAATTGCTGGGCCATACGGTAGTTCCATTTTCAGTTTTTTGAGATAACTCCATACTGATTTCCATAATGGCTGCACCAATCTGTAGTCCCACCAACAGTGCATCAGGGTTCCCTTTTCTCCACGGCCTCGCCAGCACTTGTTTGTTGATTTGTTGATGATAGCCATTCTGACCGATGTGAAGTGGTATCTCATTGTGGTTTTTATTTGCATTTCTCTAATGATTAGTGAGGTTGGACATTTTTTTCATATGCCTGTTGGCCATCTGTATGTCCTCTTTAGAGAAATGCCTCTTCATATCCTCTGCCCATTTTTTTTTAGCTAAGCCATCCTGCCACCTGTTGGCAGTTCAGCGGCTGCTCAGCTGGGGCCAGGACTCGACCCGCTGTTGCTCAGAGCTCAAACTCTTGAGCAAGCTCTTAACCAACTGAGCCACTCAGCCGACCCTCCTCTGCCCATTTTTTAATTGGATTGTTTGGTTTTTTTGGTGTTGAGTTGAATGAGTATTTTATAAATTTTGGATATTAACCCCTTATCAGATATATCTTTGGCAAATATCTTCTCCCATTCAGTAGGCTGCCTTATTGTTTTATTGATGATTTCCTTTGCTGTGAAAATCCTTTTAAATTTGATGTAATCCCATGTTTATTTTTTTCTTTTATTTCCCTTGCCCGAGGGGATATCTCAGTAAAAATATTACTCAAAGTAATGTCTGCAAATTTACTCCCTATGTTTTCTTCTAGGAGTTTTATGGTTTCAGGTCTTACATTTAAGTCTTTAATCCATTTTGAATTTGTTTTCATATATGGTGTAGTAGGTGGCCATTTTCATTTTTTTGGACGTGTCAGTCCAATTTTCCCCACACCATTTATTAAATAGACTATCTTTACCCCAATGTAAATTCTTGCTTCCAATGTCATAGATTAAATGACCATATATGGATGGGTTTATTTCTGGGCTCTCTATTCTGTTCCATTGGTCTATGTGTCTGTTTTTATGCCAGTACCATACTGTTTTGATTACTGTCGCCTTGTAGTATGATTTGATGTTGGGTAGCATGATACCTCCCGCTTTGCTCTTATTTCTCAAGATTGCTGTGGCTATTCGGGGACTTTTATGGCTCCATATAAATTTTAGGAGTATATGCTCTATTTCTGAGAAAAATGTTCTTGGTAGTTAGATAAGAATTGCATTGAATTTATATATTGCCTTAGGTAGTATTGACATTTTAACTATATTAATTCTTCCTATCCATGAATATGGTATGTATTTCCATTTATTTGTATCTTCTTTGATTT